ATTTCAGCAGTGTGATTTAAATGAAGGATATGTGGTAAGATAGAAGTGGAAATGGTGTAGAAAATTGTATCTGTGAGGTTCTTGTCAATAAGATGCCTGAGTAAATAATTTTGATTTTCGACATCATTGCCATGAATATCCTGAATAAATTTGGGGTGATTTAGAGATTTGTTGGTTAGAAAATATTCAGACTTGTTTGTTAAAGGATGTTTGGAGATTGTGTCTTCCATACCACATAATTTTCTTGAGTAAGAGGAGTGGTGGACAAACTATTTATATGGGACATCAAGAACTTATTACTAGAACGATATGTATACTTGCGTTTACAACCTAATGACAATTTAAAATTGAAAGTAACCTTAATTTACTAGAAGTGCCAGCTTTAGATATTTTAAAAAAAAACTTATTGTACTGAAGTAAATTTTATTGTGGTTAATTTGCATATTTTTTAGTGTAGCTATCTTGTATGTTGTGGTGTTGAAAATCATTTATAACACACAACAAAAACCCTCATCAATGAGGTATTCAACTTTAACAGTGAGCTGAAAATAGAACACAGTAGTGTTTTTTTATCTATATATATATATATATTGTGTTGCAACAAGTATAACTAGTGTTATCTAGATATGCAAATGTATAAGAATTGTGTGGGCATGCAAGTAAATGATAAACGTGAAATTTGTTTCAGGTATATCCCTGCAAGTTTTGAGAATATATTTACTATATGTGCACAAACAGTGCCAGATAAGTTATCCTCAAGTGATTTGTGGAGCACATATGACTAAAAGCAACAGAGTTGCCTTTGATTTCCTTGGGTGGTCAGTCAAAATCTAACTTTCAAAATATGTGTCTTAGGAGTTGTCTGACAATAGATTTAATTTAGGATATTACACGGGATTTAAGTAGAATCATGTCAGAAGGTTATTTTGGACAAGATAAATCTCTGGATTCAACGGATTTCAGCTCTAAATCCCGTAAATCCCAAATCCCGCAAACCGGTAGATTTAATTTCGCAAGGCTTGGGATTTAACTTTGCAGACTTCCAGCCGCCTCCAACAATTATGACAATTCTTAAATATTTGTAGAGAAATTGCCAAACAGTTCTATTAGATTTGCGACATTTAGTAAATTCATCGCCAGATAAATTTTCAGATTTAACCCATTCAAACTTTAGCGCCGCCCGCACTTATAAGCTGCCCCAAACGGACCCTAAATCTGATCTATATTCAGGCAACACCTTAATGCTCTTACTTTATCATGATAAGGATTTGAGCTAGCTTAATGCAGGATAGCGTTGAAGCTGGAGTGGTTTGCTTATATTTACTTGCAAGGGATGAGGAGAGCTTTCTGTCGTGGGAGGTGGCTCGTCGGTGCCTCGATGGAAGCCTATTTGAGCATGCTGAGAAGCAAAATATGGCAAAAGATGAGGTGGTGCATGCAACAAAAGAGTTTTAAGTCTTTTGCATTCAGTTAGATCAACAGTGAATTTGAGGTTTTGATGCAAGATGGACATAAAATATGGGAAGTCAAAACCTTTGTTTGTGTGCAATTGCCTTTTGTTAGTATTAGTTTTGGTGTTGTATTATCTTATTGAGTTCATAATGTTGTGATATTTGTAATGTTTGTATTGTAAGCACATATAATAAAAAACTATTAGCAGTCGAGATAGTTGGATCAATGTTGGTCATATTATGTTCGTTTGTCTTCTAGATGTTGGAACGATGACATAAATCACATCACACCTGATATTCAAATGATGGTGTGGATGGTGTGGATGATGCTCATACTACATTCGTCTGTCATCTGGATGCTATCTTATTGAGTTCATAATGTTGTGATATTTGTAATGTTTGTATTGTAAGCACATATAATAAAAAACTATTAGCAGTCGAGATAGTTGGATCAATGTTGGTCATATTATGTTCGTTTGTCTTCTAGATGTTGGAACGATGACATAAATCACATCACGCCTGATATTCAAATGATGGTCTGGATGATGCTCGTACTACATTCATCTGTCATCTGGATGATATGCCAATGACGTAGATCATACCACGTGGGATGAAGGACATTCAAACATTTGCATAAATCACACTTTCGTATTTTTTAGAAATCTCTCTATGCATCAAATTATTTTATGAATTTTATATTTTATAGATTTAAAAGGTAAACAAATCAATTAATTTATGATATTTTCTTAGAAATAATCTTTCTTGCATGTTGTAAGGAATTATATAGGGTTTGTTTAGTTTTGGATTCCAAATCTCTACACGATCAAGAACATATAGTTAAGTGCATTCTAAGATTATAGTCTTAAAAAACATTCTTGATTATGTAAAAATAGATCTATAATTTCATATTTAAAAGTTTTTATTATGTAAAATTAAATATTATTATTTCATTTGATTTTTGTTGTAATAAGTATATAATACTCACAATTTTATAATATATATATTGTATGGTGTTTGCTTGACACCCCAAGGGTTAGAACATATGGAACTAGAGAGATAGAGGAAATAACAAATAATAAAATATCTTGTATATTAGTTATTTTCTCATAAAATTTTTTTCTTATTTATATGAGAGAGTGTACAATATGAGATTTTATATTTTTGCCCCATCTTTAATGAGACAGTTACATGATATTTTAGGTATTCTATCATCGTGGTACTATTGCATAGTCAACCTATGATTGTGTTGTTGAAGTTTTATTTGTGACTCACATTTATTTTAATAACTTATGAGATTTATTTTGATAACTTAAATTATTTATTTTTACAACTCATGATGACTTAAGTTATTTATTTTCTTAACACATAACTTATGTTATAATAAATGATAACTTAAGTTATTTATTTTTTATAACTCATGATAACTTAAGTTATTTATTTTCTTAACTCATGACTTATGTTATAATAAATGATAATTTAATTTAGTTATTTTTATAACTCATGATAACTTAATTTATTTAGTTATTTATTTTTTTAACTCATAACTTATGTAATAATAAATGATAACTTAAGTTATTAATTTTTATAACTCATGAAAACTTATGTTATTTATTTATTAACTTATGTCATAACTTATGATAACTTATGATATTTATTTTTTTAACTCAAGTAACCCTTAAAATGAATAGATGTCACTAACTTATGTCATTGATTTTAATAATAAAATCAATTAATTTATTAAATTATCATAAACTCTATTGGATAATAACCCCCTTGATGAATGATGCTTAAATATAACATAATTCAAATAACGAGTTCTCTCTCTTCCTAACACACCCCTTACATTTATCTTCATCAGAAAGTACAAAAAGTTTAAAGGGATTAGAGAAAGAAACTTCATCTTTTCAAGATCACATTTTATCACCATGAATACAAGTATGTGTTACTTTATATTATATATATGTAAAAATCATGAATTTAAAAGATTTTGGCTGTTATGTATTTTTAGAATTTGTGTCATAAATGTTAAACATGAATTTCTAACATGGGTCCTGTGGGATAATGTGACTTCAGCCCAATAAAACCAATTTGGTCGACTTGATCAAGTCGGTGCAGCTGGTTAGCAATATCTAATTAGCTTCGAGCTGGCATGCATACTAATTCAGTTCGCTAGACTTTATCGATTGATTGATGTGGTATGACGGTCAGCCCTCGATCCATAAATGAGGAGTTAATGTTGGTAGACCGAAACTAGACTATCAAGCACATGGTGGATCACCATAACTCAATCGATAGCTCATTCCAGCTTAACAGAGGAAGTCCTTCGCGACGATGGTGAGATTTTGACATTGCCAAATTTTGGTTCCTGATGAGGAATCTTGGGAGCGTTCGTGGGACGACTGGTGGCGACGAGGAATTGGATTCTTTTCTCATATTGGATCTGAATAGAGGTAGATTGATGCCTTCACTCAACTTTCCCATAGTGGTTATATTAGGCGTTGATCTGCCTGTCCATGTCCAATCAAACCACACTTGGATTGTTCTTTTTTGTCATTCTCTTGGCTCAGTTGGCCTGTCCTTGGCTCGGATGAATGCTTCCAAGCGGATAAATAAGACCTATTGGTCTCCTGTTGGTGGAGCCTTTTTTGTCATACTTCCTTCTTTCTGGACCGCCTCAAGATTTGTGCTGACACATTCTTGATGTATACACACATAAACATAAGTTACACATAGATCAAGGTATTATTATTTATATAAAGATAATACATTAGTTTACTCCACTATTGCCTCTAACTATTAGCTCGTGTATTATAATAGCCACATGTATAAAAATAACTCAAAATTCATATTCACATAAAAGTTATAAGAAAAAAGTGCATGTACAAATTATAATTTCACAATTAAAATAATTAGGTAGTTAAAACATAAAATTTATGTATTTTTCAAAGTAACACATATTATTTTTGTTTTGGATCCATACAACTAAATATTAAAAAAATGTTTGGGCATTATTTTTTTGAAAAAAATTACATACACATCTCTTAATTTTTCTATATTTACACGTCTAACGCCCCCAACTTTACTATTTACATTTTATACCGATCTAAATTTTCATATCACATCAAACCTATCACTATTTTAATTATAAATTAGACGTTAGATCTATACATACATAGGAATTAAGTGGTCCATGTAAATCTTTCTAATTTTTTAAATATTATACTTCATAAAAATTTATAAAGGATTTTATACATATATGTCACTCAAAACATCATAACTTACATATATTACACCTAAACTTTGTATAAGAAGGCTAGAGAATGGCCTGGTGTGGTTCTATAAATAGATGTTAATATTTATAAATTTAATGTACTTTATATGTAAATATTGAAGTTTAGATGTGATTAGATAAACATAAATTTTGATGTTTTGAGGGTTATTTATGTAAAAAACTCAATTTAAAATTATAATGAACGAGGACTTTACAAGCGTCCACTATAGATAAGGTTTTAAAAATCCCCCTTCTTTTTTTTACGTCCCCTGGCCGAAATATCGCACAGAGCTTCAGCCATCCCGAGGCCATGAGTTTACCAACAACGGCCCTCCATTGGGGCCATTCTCCTACTCTGCCATGGCGCGTCCATCATCGGAGCTCACTTCGCGGTCTCTCTTCTTCTTCATCTCATTTGAGCTGTAGCTGCTCTCGCTTTTTGAAAAAGTTCCGATTTCAGCTAGTGATTGACTGGTGCCCTCTTCTTCCATTTCTTTAATCTACTGAAGTTTTCGATAAATGCTCTATTGTTATCGCTTTCTTACTGTTTGTTTTTTGTCGAGCTTACAGTTACAGGCCATTAATTGCACGATTTCTTTAATCTACTGAAGTTTTCGATAAATGCTCTGTTGTTATTGCTTTCTTACTGTTTGTTTTTTGTGGAGCTTACAGTTACAGGCCATTAATTGCACGACGGGCAACGATGAAAACCGAGCCGGAGAGCGACGATGCAGAGGTAAAAACTGGGCGCTTTCTTTTTGTCCATATATTTGATTATTACTTATTACTTCCAGTGACGAGATAGCCCAAAAGTGTTCAGCTAGTGTGTCAGAAGGATGGAGTGGGAGAGTGAGGCGAAAAGGAAAGAGAGAACGTGAACACCGAACTTTAGGCCTGAAGCATTAACTTGTCTCTGCTTAACTACAGTGCTACAGAAGAGAGCACTTCTCTCTTTGTCTCTTTGTATTACAGTTCTCGCATATGGTCATCTCCAAACTGGCTAGGGTTCAAATGTATGCAAAACTTTCCTCTTTTACACGGCATGTGATATTTATAGAAGGTTTTGCATATCATGGATCGAAACCCCTAGATTGGAGGACCACGAGGTATATATATATATTGAAAAAGAATGGCCTGGCCGGAGGCTATTATACGAGCAATCGGCCAATCTCATGTGGCCATTATATATGCTCGCTTACTGATTATAGTGGAGACAATTGAAGAGTCATCAATGTTCTATTATGCGTTTGATATTTATAAGTACTATAAATTGGAAGTCAATAACTATTACTTAGGTTATGATTTGTGATATCTTTCGACATGATGTCGCTACAATAGAGTTTGATTGTTGAGAAGGTTTTAAAAAATCACTTAATCCATGAGCTCTATCTTAATCCCTACTGATTTTGATTGACCATATTCTCTTATGGTTAAGTGCCCATTTAGGTTATTAGCTATAGTTCTTTAGCACTTGGCATGCAATTATGTTGCTTTGGGTTTGGGGCTTTGCATCCTTGGGTGCTAATGGAGACTTTCCATGAGGGGAAGCAGTATTGGGCTAACGTGGACTCCAAATTCTCTGGGTTGCATCAGCTCTTTTGTCCTATTTTTCATTTTTCATTATGTTTTTGCTCTTACTAAATGAATATTTGTTCAAATGAGAATGGGGCTGAATTCTTGCTCCAAATCAGTTCCCTTTATTTTGGAGATTTATGTATATATATATATATATATATATA